CTCTCCTTGTCACTCTTGGCTCCAAACTTGTAACCAAGATCCCAGGCTAGGCAGCCACTTGTTTGAGGAGAGGGATGTTTGGACATAGCTGACTGACCAAAATGCACATAGGAGCATTTGTCCCTGTTTCCCTGGATTAGGTAGAACCCAGTGGCCCAGAGTCCCTAAGCGCAACCCCACATCATTACATAGACTTTCAGTGATCTATCTATATAAAACCCTAATATGCAAATTGACCGAACAGCAGAACGACCTGCGGAACAACCAGTCAGCGGGGGGCAGGGCCAGTGAGCAGGTGTTACCAGGCCACCAGCCAAGGCAGATGCCAGCAGGGGGGCCCCCCCAATCGCCCCGCCGGTCACCCCGCAGATCAGCCCTGATCGCCGGCCAGGCTTAGGGACCCTACCCATGCACAAATTTTGTGCACCAGGCCTCTAGTCTAAAATACAGGCAGTCCTCGGGTTACATTGGAGATCCGTTCCTACAGCACAACGTAACTCGATTTTCACCATAAGTCAGAACCCCCTATACAAGCACCTACGTCACTCACATGGAGCACATACACAGCAGTAATAAAGTGAAACAGTAAAAAAAAATTTTAAAGAAAGATAACAATTTCTGACCTTTCCTTGTGATAAATAATAAAAAAACACAAAGCACATATGTACATACGTTGAAATGACAGAACATTTTTTTTTTAATAAATACTGTAAATGGGAGATTGCGATGTAACCACGAAACGACATGTTGAGTCTGACGTAACCCGAGGACTGCCTGTAATAGGTTTTGTTCCCAATAGGGGTGTGTGTGTGTGTGTGTGTGCACACGCGCGCGCGCATGTGTGCCTGTGCGTGTGTGTTTCTAGCCATCTGGATAAAATAGGAATGTTATACTTAGATGGTAATGAATGTGAAATGGGCACTTAACATCTCACATGGCACAAATGGCTAAATGGAAGCCCTGAGCCTCTCTTTATGGAACAGGTTCAGTGAGAGCTACGGTAATAGTGTTTGGTTAATGTCAGTACAGCATTAAATTTACATTATACTCTTGTGAAGAAGCTCCAACATTACCTGCTAATAACCAAGGTGGTACTTGGGCTTAGATAGACTTTTTGATTTTGCACATGAACTAACACTGCGGCTTGCTGATGAGGGATTATGTGAGCTTGGAGATTTGGTGTGCCAAAGGATTCTTTGTATGAATAAAAATTCTGGTCAGTGAAGGTCAGTTTCTCTACTCAAGCGAGAACAATGTTATTTCCCTTCTAATCAGACACACACAGTGTTTGAAGACTCCAAGAGTCCCATATAAGTGATGTGCAGCCATCGTCTGGTCAGCATCTCATGCAAGAAATGAATAATCCTTAATAGAGCTCAAATGACCCTGGCTTTTTTCTGTACTCTAATCAGTTGCTTTAATGGTATGCCTTCAGTGCTTCACAGGGAAAATGCTATAGAGTTAAGTTATCTTCATCTTACTTCAAGGAGGGCTGAATTGGTCCAATCAATCCTCCCCCCATGTTGTACTTGATTCTGCTATAAAGACCACTGAAGTCAGCCTCAGTTTTGTTAAAAGCCAGCATTCCCTTTCTCTTTCAGGGTGATGTGCCCCTGAGCAGCAGTGGACTTGAAACAGCAGGAGTCACCATCTTTATTGTTCGGCTGTGCAATTTGTTTTAGGCACATTCTAAATCCAGTCTTATGCCTCCTGCTTTTTTTTTTATGTGACAAAGGTGACCCAATTGTGATTCTTTGATATTATGAACACAGCTCTTTTTGCTCGTATCACAGAGGCATGTAACAAAATACAAAGGATAAAGTTATGTCTCTGTGTAGTAAGGACACATACTTCATGACTAAATTCAATGACATAATCAAAAAGGTGTTGTCCTCTCACAGTCATGAGCTAACAGCCAAAGACTGCCTTTCAGAATATTTTTATAGTGCTGAGATACTGTTAAAAAATAATAGAACTAATGAAAATGTCACATTGACAGAGTAGCTCGTATTAAGATTTTACTTCAAGAAGGCATGACTATGTGAATGTGACTTTGACAGCAATGGTGTTAGGTTTACAAAGTTAATAAAAATATTCTAAGGAGAATATTATAGAGTTTCAGTTGGAGTGTATAATTTTTTCATCTTACCTTTTATTTCTAGAACTAAGTGGACTCCAGTGTTCAGAATTTTAGCCTGAATGTCTTAGTTCTGCCTAGGAGAGGTATATGGAACTTTTTCTTTATATCAAGCTCTAATATAATTTTATCATATAAAGGAATAAGTTAATTTAACAATATGGTAAAATGCATGTGCCTTAGGACATTTGGAAAATATGCAGATAGTAAAAATTACATAACGCTAAAGTATTGCTCAGTAAATAAATATGCAATGTTTAAGTGATTAAATACATACAGAAAGTAGAAATGAAGATTAGCAGTACAAAAGAGAACTCATTTTAAACAGACTAGTTGTAGCATCACTGAAGACTTTACTTAGCACTCTGGGTTGGCTGAACAAATATTCCAGCAAATCTGGAATGAATAGCAACTCTGTTTACTATGACAGGCTTTATTTGTCTTGGGCACAACCAAGACCACATGCTGTGTTTTGTCATGTTGGAAATACTGAAGCAGATTTCCATTGTGAATGTGAATTGTTTTTTCAAGCTTTAACACCTTAGTCTCAACTCAGCTAGGTAAAAGCAATACATTTTCCTTTCCTTACCAGCCAGACATCAATAAATCTTAAATCCCTCCACCAAAAACATGTCAGGCAATTCAATGTCCTAGTTGTAGTCTCACATCACAGTCGTAGATGGCCTGATTCTTCTTATTTCCAAGGGCTGTCTTTCTGCCTTTATTCCAACAAAACTGTTAATTTCCTTTATCCTCCATATAGTACAGCTTCCTTAACTCCATACCCTACAAAGATGTGATACTGATGGCATTGGGCCTTCTCAATGATGCAGACATTTCCACCTAGTATAAACATGGCTAACATTCAACTTTCCCCCTTATTTATATCCTGGGTAGACAAAGCCATGTTTAGCAGCTGTTGTCTCCAATTACATTCACCTTTTAGAGTTGTTGATTCTGCTGAATTTATGGAAAGTGTGTATATCAGGGCTTTACATTTGTTGCGAGTGGCACAGCATATCATGAAATTATTTAGATATATTTTCCACCTTAGAGTAATGCTGGGTAGCAGATCCTTGCAAAATTCTCATCACATTCTTTGTTTATGCATAATGATTATTTAGTAAGCAGGGAGATTTAGGGAGAAGTAGAAGACTAAGGGTTTAAGAGTGAAGGAAAGGTTGTTGTTTTCACAGATTAGGATCAAATCTTTTTGTCCTGTGGTCTTTATTCTAGTTTGATATGGATTGGTGTTTTTCTTTAAAGTCTCTTATCATTCTGTCTGAAATGAGTTTAAGGCTAATCTTATACTGAGAAGCCTGGTAACCAGTAGGGATTAGCATGTAATTAATACAGTTTTGTTGTGGAGCAGTGCAGGGAGAGATTTGAGGTGGTGGTAAAGGGGCTGGAATCAGCCGCAGCACCCTCACCCACAATTTTATGGACACTGTGGAGCACTAACCTTTAGTTATGATATGACATCTGCCCAAAGAGTGACTCTGTGCACACTGAATGTCTGATCAGGGTTAGAGGTGAGACTAAAGAGGGGGAGAAAGACTCACTTCAATACTTTTAACATTCAAAGAAATATATGAACACCTACTATGTGCCAGGTTAATTGTAGATGCTTGGGGATACTGGGTGACCAGTACCTGCTCTTATAGAACTCACATTATGTATAAGGGTCATATAGGTAAAGAAAAAATTTTAGATAGTAAAGTATAAAAAAAACTATAGCAAGTATTGAAGAAAGAGGGTAGTGGGCTGACCAATAATAATTGTAAGAAAGTCACTAAGGCATCTATCTCTAAGGCATCTATCTCTGGGCATGAGCCCAGACCAAGTAAGGAGAAGCTACTTCAGGGCTTTTCATATAAAGGGACAGCAAGTGCAGAGATTCTGATGAAGGAATTATCTTTGGTCATTCAAGGAACAGAAAGAGAATCTTTATGTCTGCAACTTGCCAAGATAAAGGAGGGGAAGGTGATAGATGAAGTTGAAGAGATAGGAGTAAAGCAAAGTTATGAATATTCCAAGAATGAATTCATCTTGGGGATATTGGTAAATGATAAACTCAACAGTTCAAAGTGAAATGATCCTCTTTGTAGTTTAAGGACAAATATGGAGGGTAACTAGGAATAAGTAGGGTGTCTTATGTCAAACAAAGTAGCAGCATGAGGGAGCTTCACAGCCTAGTGTTTGACATGAAGCTATTATCAAACTGCTCTTCCTGGAATATTTCCAGTAGAAACACTAGCATATTTGTATGTTTTCAAAAATGATGGCAATTTTCTTTTAAAGTACTTCTTGAGAAGTTGAGAGTAAATTTTTGTTTCTGACAAGTTAACTCGATCTAATTCTCCCCTATAGTTCCTCTGTACAACTGTGTTTCCCATCCCCGCAGAGGGGCATAGATCTCATGACCTTCAGCTGGGGACTTGTGCTGCTTACTTATGGCTGGGTGTTGGTGAATGCTTGCTAATAAGATAAGCTATCTCAGAGAATAAAATTCATCTCAGCAAAGTCCACATTTTAGGGGATCATCAGGATGGGGCAAAATCTGCAGGTAAAATTTAATTTTGTATTCAAATGAACCCATGCAGTTTGCTTACAGAAACTAAGTGATTAGCTACACAGCTAATCCATAAGTATGGATTTCTTCCCCCATTCTAAATTTGGTTTTGTTTGGAATACAGTGAGTGTGCAGGCATGGTACAGATTTGCCATACATCTGACACTCCTGGACTTCAAAAAGCAATTCTGAAATCTTCAAATTCCATCACAGGCTTGCAGCTTACTGTTCATATTATAAAGAGCAAAGTGTAGAGCACCTATGTTTATTGGTTTGTTTTTCTTTTGGCAGAAGCAAGATGCTCTGGTTTCAAGGAAATAGCATACAATTTGCCAAGTACTCCTTTAGACTCTTCCTGAGAAATCTCTCTGCCTCTAAGACTATTCTGCCTGTGCTGACCTTATTCACAAAGGTAGAGTGAAAAATAAAATTACTGCTTTAAAAACATAAAGTATTTAGATCATTGGGTGAAGAAAATAAGAAAGAAAGACGTTGAAAGTAAAGGAATAAACATTCTTCGGACCTGTTCCTCAGTTTTTCAGTTTCAGTATCAGCAGTAGTAACTCTATTCCTCCCCAGATACCTCATTGTCTCACAATTAGAGGTTAAATTAATATATTTAGTAGTCATCTGAGAACCCTACATTGAAAGAAAAAGCTATCAGATTATAATATGATGTTTATAAATGTATCACTTGGAAACTTAGTTCTTATTATTTGTGATAGTTATGTTCTATAAAGTCGCCAAAAACACTGAATTAGCAAATGCTGGACCTTTGCTCCTAGGGAAAATACAGGGTTAGATTCCTATGAGCTTCCATTAACATTTTTGTCAATCAGTCAGTGCATAACCTTGTTCTGTTTAAAGACACCTTGTTTAATACATGTTGTTGATTCATTAATGTTGAACTCATAGCCAACAGCACTATAACTCATGCCTGAACAAAGCTTATCTAACACAATATTTTCTCCATAAGGCACATCAAAGCCTTCTTGTGCTTAGAAGCATTAGCACCTCAACACTATTAACAGGAAGCACAAAAAATAAAAAAATAAATGGCACTAAACAGATCACAAGAAGGACGCTTGTTTACACATATGAGCTGAAACAAGGAGGCAGAGCATCATCTTGTTCAATCTCAGCTGGAATGTAACTCAAAATGTGCTCTGTTCTGTACACATGCATGTCTGTGAATGACTACAAAAGGTCCATGAGTTTTTGATCTTGGGGTTACAAATAAGTTTCAGTGAATAAGTGAACTCACACACACAGAATCCACAAATAATGGGGATTGACTGTGTTTTCTTATCCCTGACACTACTTTTATTTTTTATTTTTATTTTTTTTTAAAATATATTTTATTGATTTTTTACAGAGAGGAAGGGAGAGAGAGATAGAGAGTTAGAAACATCGATGGGAGAGAAACATCGATCAGCCGCCTCCTGCACATCTCCCACTGGGGATGTGCCCACAACCCAGGCACGTGCCCCTGACCGGAATCAAACCTGGGACCTTTCAGTCTGCAGGCCGACGCTCTATCCACTGAGCCAAACCGGTTTTGGCCCTGACACTACTTTTAAAGTATAAAAGTAGTTTAAAATACACACACACTAATCTTAAAGTATAAAAGTAGTTTAAATTTTTAAAAGCTTTCCCCCCCGATATTTATAATATAAGCATTGCTGATTTTCTTTTGCTAGTTAACATTACTTTGTGTGATTTATAATCAAAAAAAGAAATAAAGTGCAGGGTAATAGAATTAACTTTAGTGAATAATACTGCAATTCAAACAAAAAAAAAGCATTGTGTTTAATAGATTTTTCATAATTCGGGCATTTTAACAATTTAAAAATATCTGATGGTTATCTAACAGGAAAGCTTTAAAAAACTTTTAAAAATTAATATCTCATTGAGAATAGTTACTCTAAACTACTTTTCATATCCATGAGTATATACCACACTGTTGGAAATTATGGAACAAAACTATTTCATCATCTGTGTCTATATATGAGAAATGCATGTGAGAATTAACCACAAAAATAAAATAATCCCTAAAGCAAATGGTGCTCATTCAGCCTAACAATTCTGCACTATTTTTCAGTTTGAGCAACAGCCAAGTTAGCTGAAAACATTTGCAAAAACACACACTAATCTTCCATTCAGCTTAAATTTTGTACTGAACTCTTTATATGTGTCATTAGGCATATAATATCACTCTCACCTTCAGGAGTTCACAATCCAAAGAAAAAGCACAGTATTAGCTCTCTTTCAGTTATAAATAATAAAAAGTACGTCCCAGAGTGGCTTAAACAAAAAGGGATTTTATGGCTTGATCTGGTTTCAGGGGTAGCTTCATTCTGAAACTAAGCAGTTGCCAATCTCTTCAGTTCACATCCTCTGGGTTAAACCTGTCTTGACTCTGCCTCTTCTCATGAATGACTGCAGTGATGCCAAGCCCCAGATCTCACAGCTTGGGTATCAGAAACTCCAGCAAAAGCCTCATAGCTATCTATTGGCTCTGATCTGCCCAATCCCTGAGCCATTCCATTTTAGCCAAAGGGATAGGATGTGCTTGCTGATTGCCTTGTTTCTCAGGAATGGAGTCCACCACAGGCTGAGAGCAGTTCCTGTGAGGCAAAATTACAGCATTCTTGCTGCAAGAGGTATGAGTGGTGGACAACCAACCCAACAAATGTTTGTTACATTTCAGGGCTAGAGTAAATAAGTGCTCTATTGGTGCCATAGAAAATCCTAGACAAGGATGTTTGAATGGTCCAGACCACTGAGTCTTACCCTTTTTCAGTTTATAGACTTCTTCAAAATTTGATGGACCTTTTCTCATAAACACACACACACACACACACACACACACACACACACACACACGATAATTTGCACAAACTTCTATGGATACTAGCTCTTAAAAACAAAACAAGAAAAACCCTGATCTAGGCTCTATTGAAGTGTTTTATTATAAAAGCAAAATGTTAGTAATATGGTATTTCTGCTACTTAGCTTGTTCTTGTTTTTCCTTTAAGAACTTCTATTGACTTTTTGAAACTTTCTCAGAAAAATGTCAACATGATTATCTCAACACATCACAGACTATTCGTAATCTGTTTATTGATGATGCTCATAGTAACAGCATGAGCCTAATTCTCTGAACCAGGAAATTAGGGCCAGAAAGATCCTTCTGAAGGAAAACTGACTTTTGATGCTGTGGGTCCTTATTTTGAAATAAGCTGTGAGTCTCAGGACTGCACCCTATTTCAAAAGACAAAGCTCTGCCTACAAAGAAGACTTTTTTATTTTAACTAAAGTTACTGTCATTTACAGTGAGTTTGGGGAAATATAAGATAAAAATAACTTTCATAGTCCTTGCATAATAGGCTACCACATTTCATAACTTTAATGGTTGTAAAAAAAACAAGGAGAAAAAAACACACCTTGAAGGACAAAATATGTGACTGCCGAAGTGTGTGTGATTTATTGTTGTACATTCACAGTCTTGCAGGAACTGAGAAGCTCACAGGTGTGGACAGACCCTATTCACTGGTTAGGCCTGTGCAGAAGAGTGTAAACCCTCTTGTGTACTGAACTGTGCACCTGATACTGTAAACATACTATAATAACAATGTCTCATATGGACATGAGAAAAATCATGGGTCAGCAGCAAGCTTTTTAAAATGTTTTTACTTAAATGTAAAGGAGAAAAAAAGGGGGGCAGCTTTTCCCCAGAGTATCATGCGTGAACCTACAACACCCTGACCTCTTTCTCTCCTTCATTGTATGAATAACCAACCCTGAGAGCACCTCTTAGAACTGGTTTTAACCTTTAGCTGCAGCAACTGTGCTGCTGCATGTGTGTGTGTGTTTGTGTTTGTGTGTGCGTGTAATCATACATTGCACATACCCTTGGACATGTGTGCATATATATGATGTTGTACTCATTGCACATACCCTCGGATCCCCACAGTTTGGTCACCCTCCCAGCTTCCCCTTTATAGTATGATGAGTTAACAAGTGATGGCCTACACAAAGTGAGACCCAGCTATTTAATCTCTTGCCAGATATCACGCCTCTTGGTGGAATTATACAGGTTTTTGTAAAAAGTCCTTGCTGCTGTCTCAGCAGCCAATCAACTTATAGGTTGTTGTTTTTTTCTGGGTTTTTGTTTTCTTTCTAATGGAAGTGTGAAAAGTTCTACATTCAGTTGAAGTTCCTGGTGAAGAACCACAATTGAAATTTTTTCAGTGATAAAAATTTGTATATTTGTATGTCAAACAGTCTAGCTAAAACTTGATGTAAATTCCTCCTTTTTTGCTTAATGAATATAATTTATTCAGTATGAAATCTTTATATGTTTCATGTGTTAAGAATAAATGTACATTAAATCTTGGTTAAAAAAAAGCTGTGAGTTAAGCTGGGGGAAGGGCCTTTCTTTTATATAAGAGCTTATCTCTTCCTGTCATGTTAAAAAGCAGATCCTATATAATAAAAGGCTAATATGCAAATTATCCCCTTGACCAGGAGTTCGACCATGGGGTGGGGCCGGCCCACCAACTGCCCGCAGCCCCTCCCCCAGGCCAGTCTGGCCTGATTGGCCCCAATTGGCCAGCCAAACCCCACCCATGCATGAATTCGTGCATGAATTCATGCACCGGGCCTCCAGTCCTATATAATAAAAGCCTAATATGCAAATTGGCCAAACAATGGAACAACCGGTGGAACAACCAGTCGCTATGACACGTACTGACCACCAGGGGGCAGACGCTTAACACAGGAGCTGCCCCCAGCCCACAGACCCCAGGCCAGCCAAGGCAGGTGCCAGTGGGCCCCCCGATCACCCCACCAGTCACCCTGCAGAGGGAGGCGACCAGCAGTGGAGTGCGAGACCAGCGGGTGGGTGATGCCAGGCCAGCCAAGGCAGGTGCCAATAGGGGCCCCCGATTGCCCCACCAGTCACCCCACAGATTGGCCCTGATCACTGGCCAGGCCTAGGGACCCTACCTGTGCATGAATTTCGTGCACCGGGCATCTAGTTTTATATAAGCACCAGGAATGTTGAGTATATTCTTAGCTCATTGCAAGAGAACCTATAGCTAGTTCCTATTCATGAAATCTAGTCCTGAGAAGCCTTTAAAATCTGCCAACAATCCATAGCATTCTCAACAGACTCCTCTACTATGTGGTTAGAGCACAAACAACAACAGGCACTAAAATGTGCTTGCTTCTCAGGTGGAGAATTATCTGGAAAACCTATTGCTGACACTTATAATGGGGAAGAGACAAGACATTAAAGAGTTGGTACATTCATCATCTGAAATATTTTTCCCTTTTTAAAGATGGGACACTCATTATCTAACTCTATTGTAGTGGGTTTATTCCTGTGGATTAGGAGAAACAGGCTGGCAAAGCTCAGTGTCCCCCATTCAAGATAGACTTTTAGCCACTCTGGTGATGTCAGCCAGGCCAGGAAGGTGCTCCTTGGAGTATAGATCAGTGAAAAATAATTTTCCCAGCTATCAATTAGATGAAGCCAGTGACAAAAAAATGTAAGCATCTAAATGTATTGTGTATGTGTATATGTACATATGTATCTATATATCTACCTGTAATACATATCTAATAAATAGATACATTTGTTATGTAAATATATATTATGTGTATATACACATGTATGTGTAACAAATGTAAACATCTAAATTTATTAGGTAGGTAGATTGATTTATGGAGACAAATCAAAATAAAACATCTGGAAAATGCTGAAAGCCCATTTACTATGAAATATTAGCTATTTATTAGATTCTATGACAGTGTTTTATTTTGGAAATGAACGTGTAGAAAACAACCTGTTAAAATACGTATAATCTGCTTCTGTGGTTTTTGTCAGGTTGCTGCCATTCTTGGGTCTCATGGCTTTATTTTTCCTTCCTGTAGGATCCATGTCCCCTTTGTGATGAAGCTAAGGAAGTGCTGGAGCCTTATAAAAACAGGGTAATGTAGTACAGTGTGGCTTTATGTATACGGGATGGATATAAGGTATCTGGATCCTTTCTTTAGGAAAAGAGCGTAAATGACTTTTCATTTACATTTTCTTTCTGATTTTCAGAGAGATAGATGTTTGTGCTAATTTCCATAAAATCATTACCACTAGGTGTTTCTCTGAGCAGTACTTGTTTCCTTACTCTTTCTTTAAAATATATTTTATTGATTTTTTACAGAGAGGAAGGGAGAGGGATAGAAAGTTAGAAACATCGATGAGAGAGAAACATCTATCAGCTGCCTCCTGCACACCCCCTACTGGGGATATGCCCGCAACCAAGGTACATGCCCTTGACCGGAATCGAACCCGGGACCCTTCAGTCCGCAGGCCGATGCTCCATCCACTGAGCCAAACCGGTTAGGGCTGTTTCCTTACTCTTAATGTGAGTCAAAGTTAAATATCAGGTGCTGTATTCATGCTTTTTCAAAACTTTTGTCCCTATTCCTTTTCTCTTATTTTGTCATTTCCATGGTTCACCTGTAGTAAAGCATGACATTTTTTAAAACCAAAACATGTCTTTCCTGATTCTCAGGAAGTTTCCCTGTGAGGACATATTTTATTTCATTGGGAATGGAGTAGTGCCTGGACGATGAATGTGACAGGTATAACAGAAAAGTAGCAAAATCTGGAGTTATGGAATATAATGAAATCAACCAAGTGGTAGAAATCAGGGACATTAGATTACTTTGGACCTCACACAAACAAACCACAATAACAAAAGCCTCTGAGTGTTAGAACCAGTCTCAGGATCAGTTTGTCACTAAAGTTATTGCATCATTCCATGTTCTCAAAAATATAGAGCTTTAGTCTGTCTCTGTTTCAGTTTATTTTACAGGAGGTGGACATCACACTTCCAGAAAACTCTGTTTGGTATGAGAGGTATAAATTTGACATCCCCGTCTTTCATTTGAATGGCGAGTTTCTGATGATGCATCGAGTAAACATCTCAAAACTTGAAAAACAGCTCCAGAAACTTGAGCAGCAAGGTACTGGAGGCTGATGAAAGCCCTCGTGATTTTCCATCCTCGCTGTCCAGAAGGCATCTTCCCAAGGAAATGACCACGGCCTTGTATTCCTTTTGTCACCTGTCACACAGCCCTAATAAGGTCTGAACTTAGTGGTACCAAATAAATGTTGACATTTCTCTTCTGATTGATGGAAGTACCAATTTGAAAACTGTTTACCTTTGGCATTTTATGAAATAAGAGGAGTGTGTTGGCAGGGAGGGTGGGAGAAATCCATTTGTTTTATTTCTTTTTCTCTTTTGTTATTTGTATTAATATGGAAACATTTCACATTCATTGGACAGGGCCATTTATAGGAAGAAGGCTCTATATCCCTGCTGCTGCCCCGAGGGCTTAACTTTTTAATGGAGGAATAAATGCTCTTCCTCTCAGTAGATAAAGTGAAATGTGAATTGTTAATAACTGTGCACAGTCAATAAAGGGATGTTTTAACAAATACATCTGCATAAGCCTGTTTCAGTGGAACTTAATAATACCTGTTTAAAATTAGAGCTCATTTTTCTGGGTAGGAGAGAATAATTATCTGAGCCAAGGAAAGCTTCATTTAAGAAAAACAAAAGAAAGATATAAACTCCCAAAATGTATATAAGGATCTCAACATGCTTTGCATGTAGTCAGTGAGTTGATTTGTAATATTTGAGTACTGCCTTTGTTAGTTTTTCAGTTACCGTCAATTGAGTTAATTAAGCTTATTATGAAACAGTTTTTAATATCTTATGGAAAATTCACTTCTGACCATAACTGGACAGATATGTCATCTAAAACCAAAATGTTTTTTGCCATTTTATGTAAAGTATTAAAAATGTAGTTGTGTACTCTTATTTATATTTAGTCAGGTTTGGCCAGTATAAGAGTGGGTTCATTTAAAAACAAAACTGCCTTTTCCTCTTAAAATCATATCATTGCAATTTTATCAATAATGAAATTCTTCTATGAACTATTTTTTTTTTTATTGACTTTTACAGAGAGGAAGGGAGAGAGATAGAAAGTTAGAAACATCGATGAGAGAGAAACATCGATCAGCTGCCTCCTGCACATCTCCCACTGGGGATGTGCCCGCAACCAAGGCATATGCCCCCGACCGGAATCGGACCTGGGACCCTTCAGTCCGCAGGCCGACGCTCTATCCACTGAGCCAAACCGGTTTCGGCCTTCTATGAACTATTTTAATGAATTTGGATATTGTGAGTTCCTTGGCTAGATTTAAATTTGACCAGTACGGCCAGGCTGGTGTTTCTCAGTGGTTAAGCATCGACCTATGAACCAGGACGTCATGGTTGGATTCCCAGTCAGGACTCATGCTGGATTGTGGGCTCAATCCCCAAAAGGGGGCATGCAGGAGGCAGCCAATTGATGATTCTCATCATTGATGTTTCTATCTCTCTTTCCCTCTCCCTTCCTCTTTCTGAAATCAATAAAAACTTTTTTAAAAAATGTCATATATGAGGAGTAATCTGACATTCAGAAATTTTCAGGGACTTAGCTTGAGGACACACAGTCAGCTGTCAGAACAGGTCTTGCCACCCACTCTAAATTACGGCTCACGGCATGGGTATCATGTTATTTCAAATAGAGCAAACTCAACCATTCTGGATCCAACACACATTAAGAAGTAACTTTAAAAACCTTCCAAGATAAGAGAAAAAAATACTACAATTGAGTAGCAATGTTTATAATTTATATATTTCTGGAACACATATTATTTGATTTTATAAATATTAATTGAGCTCTGTGATAGGCAAAATTGACCCCAATTAACCCTCATACTGTATTCCCTCCCCTTGAAGTGTGGGTGGAACTCAAGAATATGATGAAATATCACTGCTGTGATTATGTTACATGGTATGGCAAAAGTAAATAATCCTGGTTGGGCCTTACCTAATCAGGTGAGCCCTTTAAAAGCACAGAATTCTCTCTGGCTGATTATAGATGAGGAAATCAAAGAAACATGTTCCAGCTAGCTTGGAAGGGAGTAAACATCAGTCCTATAAACTGTCTAATGGGGCCACATGGCAAGAAACTGTGAGCAGCCTCTAGGAGCTGAGAACAGCTCTTGGCCAACAGCTAGCAGAAAAATGGGGACATCAGTCCTACAGCTGCAAGCAAATTAATTCTGTCAACAATCAATGAGTCTAGAAGAGGATCCTGAGCTCCAAATGAGAATCACAGCTAACACCTTGATTTCAGCTCAGAATCTAACCATGCCATGCCTAGACTTCTGACCTTCAGAAACTATGAAATAATAAATGTGTGTTTACACAGCAATAGAAGTCCCTACAACACTGAAGCACAATCTTAGGTGGTGGGATTACAAAAATAAGGTACTGTCCTTGTCTTCAAGATACTATCTCTTGGGGAGCAGAGAGCAAGTTAATAAAGCGCTACAATGTAATGATATGAGAACTGCAACTGAGACATGTAAAAAGTGGTACAGCAGCCAGATGGGAAAGTGGCAGAAGGCCTCACAGAAAACCGGAGACTTAAACTAGGTCTTGCTCGTTGAATAGAAGCAATGGGAGAGGGGCTGAGAGTGAGGAGGGTATTCCATCCTGAATAAGTAGCAGGTGGAAAAGGTAAAAGTGGAAGGGCATGGCATATTTAGAAAATGGCAGGTGGTTTTGGGTGGCTATAGTGAAGGGGAAAGGATGAATGAGATGAGACTGACAAGATTGATGAGGGTCCACCTTGTCAAGGACCTCATGAAATGTGTGGCTTTTTCCCTGAAGTGGTCCTTCCCTTGCTTCCTGGCCTCATCCCTCTGGCTCCTGATTCCTGTGTATCTGGGCACCCTGTGTTCCTCCTTCTTACTACAGGCAGTATGAGGCTATGTGACCCATTTCCCAGGGTGCCGGTCCTTCGGGGCCATCAGTTGGAAAAGTTCCAAGAGTTTCAAAACCTGCTAAGGTATGAGACAGGGAATCCATGGGTTCCATTCAGAAAGCGGGGCTGGCCAGAGAGCCTGGAGTTTGTTCTTTTGGAGCACTTCTTGCCTGAGTATAATGGAGGTGTATAGGGAGTGTGAGGACTTCATCCAAACAACAAATTTCTGACCTTAGGATTTTTAACAAGTAAACAAAAATCCATTATACTTAAGGATCTTAAAATTACGGTGTTGGCTGAGGCACCAAAAAACAATAGGTGTTACATTCCATAGGAAGTACTAGATCACATAGGATTGTTGGAGATTGGAGAAAGGATATTTTTATATTTATTTTTTTATTGGTGGAATTTTATTTTTTAGGTGTGTTCTTAGTTCCTACCAAAGTAAAAGGTTGGGGTCACCTAATGTCAAGAGAAAGGGACAGATAGTTTAATATATGTCTCTGGGTAGGAAGAACACAGTGGTCCAGTTCCCTTCTGGGAAATCATGTGAAAGATAAGCTAGCAAGCCATGTTGGGTACAGATTGAAAGGGAGCTGCTGTTGCTGCGAGTATGTCCAGAGGAAGGATGTGTGGGGTGTGTGTGTGTGTGTGTGTGTGTGTGTGTGTGTGTGCGCACGCGCGTGCTCCTTTGGGGATCAGATCTGGGTCAGTCATGAGCAAGGGCTGGCTTTGGGAAGCCTTAGGTGCAGCCAAGCCTTAGAAGAGCAGGAGCAGAAGGAAAATACTAGGTTCCTAGGGGCTGAGGAAGTAAGTGGCGGCTTAAATGGAGAGCACATTTGCCTGAGTCTAGGGAACTGAAGCTGAGACATCACCAGCTGTGAATGCAACCTCCCAAGAACCTGCAAAAGCCCCTTTGAAATGTAGTCTGCTAAATGTTTACCAGGCCCAGAAAGCTGAAAGCCATCTTACCACTTCACCAGACAGTATTCCTGCTTCTCTCCACTTCTCCTACCTTCTCCCATCCCAACCCTAGAAGAATCAGAAGCTTCCAGGAGCAAAGAGAGAAAGACCTCCCCTTCCACACCTTCCCACCTGCACATGGCTTCTCACAGGGCTAAGGGTGAGACTTAATTTTAAACCAAGGTCTAAGTTTTCATTATGACTTAGGAATAGATGCAATAACCAATTTGAAGTGACCATGGGACTTTCTATTGCTTGAGAATGCTAAGAGTCCTTACACTACCTGGTTTTAATTTTGTCCTAAACAGAGTAGGAAATTCCCCACTCAGTACATACTGGGAGACATAAATAAAGATGCTATCTGATCGTATTCTATATTCAGAGTACATACGAATTACATGTGCCTAATGTTATTTCTTACCTATAAATATTCATAAATTTACTTTATTAATTCTTATTTGAGAGAGTAATGTGGGCATGTGACTAAGAATCCTGGAGGTTTTCATCAATCCCTCTGGTCCCAACAGCGGGCAAATCAAAAGGCAGCTATCTAGAAACACAGCATAGATTCTAGAAGGTGGTTTGATTACACCACTGTTGATAAGCTTAAGACAATGTCATGTCACTTAGTATAGTCATTTTCATATGATATTTGTAGCAGCAGTTACTTTTTCTTTCAGAAATTATATTTGCAAAGATCAATTTTTTTTAATTTCTTTATTGATTAAGTTATTACATATGTTGTTTTTATATAAAGACTGTTTTCGACACAAGAAGCTCATCATAATATTCTTCCACTCCCAAATGAAATATTGATATAACCTTTCCTTCCCTTTTTTTCCTAAGCTGATGCTTTAAAAAGGAGTGGAATAAACACTGAATTTGGGACTGCATATTGCTGATCTTAGTTACAGTGCTGCTGTCTTCCAGATGTCTCACCAGATCATTCGCAGTAACTCTTTGGCCAATTTATCACAGGAAGCAGAGGTTTGCTCAGGGTATGGTTGTTCTGTTTGTTTATAATAATGCAGCAACTTGTAGAAGTCTGACAGTAGGAATCACAGTAGGGCCGGGCCTCGGGGAAGTATTCTGAAGGAACCGTAGAAATCAAAGCAGAACGCTTCTCACTGTGCCTCAGCTTCTTTCTTTTCATCTTCTCTCCAGACTCACCACTTCCCCTGCTTACTCAGAGTATCTGCTTTCTCAGAACTGCAGCATGTTCTTGCCGCATTCCTGCTGACCCTTCTGTACACTAATGGTCTGAGACTTTCAGCTTCTCTATTCTGAAATCCCAAAAGAGGAATTTTTCTCATCTAGCTTTTACAGCCAGCCACCCAAGTCATGTATTAGCTAATCAAACTTACAGAAAGAGTTACCATTGGGTCCGGTGCCCATCCCTGGCCCAATCAACTATGGGGACCAAGATCATTTGGTATGCAAATCATAGTCACTGCCCACTCAACAGAGATTAAAAGCATGGTTGGCAATAATCAGTAGCTCTGGCACACATCCAAAAAGTTGTAAGAGCATGTCATTCTACCATGTTCAAAAGTTCATTTATATCCTACTCATGAGAGTAATGAGGACTTGAACTAGGAAAATGGGAGTTAGAAAGAAATATCAGGAGATATTCTGGAGTAAGGTTAACAAAACTT